TGTGCGCTAAATTGCACTCACCTCAAAATTATAGCAAAATTAGTGGTTCTATACAAAGAATTACCAGGCCTGCTTGAGTGACCCCCGTCCTCAACTCCTTCCCCTACTTAGCAACTTCACAATTTCTCACAACCTCTTATCACCCGCTTTTCCGGAGTTGTTTTTTCCCAGAATTTTCGAATTTTTCCGCCCCTTCCCCCCTCGGAGGGTGAAACGAGGAAAGTCAACACGAAACAAAAAAAAAACGAAAAGACGAAGAAAACCATTTCCTTGAAGGCAAATACAACGCTCCTCCCTCCAGAGACTGAATACTGCCCTACTCACGGGGGATCGCGATGTACGACGTGCCATTATAGCAGCAGTCGGCTCGCCGGCTGACGCCGGCGCGCCTCCTTCTGATACGGCCCGGCTGCGCCGGGCGGGCGCGGCTTCGCCGCGCGTACCTTCTTTCACATATTTCTAGACTCAATCCTCTTGTCCCTGGTGCCAATGCTGCTCCGCAACCGAGTCGTGAATTCTTGACTCTCTCTCCGCTCACTTCGATGCATGCTCCGCCCGCAATGGGCGTGTCTATCTCACTTCAACAGTTGAGCTCCTGCACATCTCTGCTCACATGTTGACGGTGTCTGGAGTGCTCTGGAACCGTTTTACAGATTTTTTGTCTGGCTCCGCCCACCTCGGAGCAGGCCCCGCCCACAACATGTGTGCCCCACATTTCTCAATCGGCCAGCCCTCGCTGACCCTGGTCCACTTTTTTTCTGGTGTCTGGAGTGTTCTGGAACCGTTTTACAGATTTTTTGTCTGGCTCCGCCCACAACATGTGTGTGCCCCACACTTCTCAATCGGCCAGCCCTCGCTGACCTTAATCCTCGTTTTTCCGGTCTCTGGAGTGTTCTGGAACCGAGCTACAAACTTTTGAAATGAGTATCCTGCGGTTGAAGGCTAGCTCCGCCCACTGTGGGCGGTCTCAACATACTTCAGGCGTGCCCAACACTCGCCGAATATTGCCTTTCTGCATCGAATTTTTGCGATTTCTAACACTCTCGCACAGCGAGTTAATGTATTATGTGGGAAACACCGCCTCCCATGCCCTACCCATCCCCACCTTGACCCGACCTCTCCAAGTCGTTCTTCAGGTCGAACCGAATTTCCGGACAAAACAAACAAACAAACAGACGAAGCAAATTATATATAGTGGGTGATGACAAGGATTTTTTTGAGTAGCGGGGTCAAGCATGACGTGGGAAGTGCCATCCAAAGAGTCCAATTCGTGGCAATGGATTTTGAGGAAAGATAGAAAGAAGCGACGAGAAACAGACCTGGGCAGAAGCGAGTGATCACATAAAGGATGAGAGAGAGCTGAGAAATAATCAAAACAACAGAAATCAACACATGCCACTTAACACAGGCGGGTATAGGCAACCGGGCATAAATCGTAATCCTTGCTGCGCACCTTGAACCCTTGCAGAGCGCGTGCCAGCGAATTCTTGCATTCGGAGGTCGCCCTACCCGCGAACTCTGTCCCCAAAGTGCCTGTGATGAATCCCTATTAGAACAGACTCGGCGACGACGCAGGTCACAGCTCCGTGCGAACACCAAATGGCCAGTGCATTCTTGTTATCTGAAAGGAAGGTTTTGGAAGGGTACCTGCTCGACAGCTCAGTTTACAAAGAGAAAAGAAGAGGTTGGATGTGCAAGAACTGGGCCAGGACATGAACAAGAATTAGCAGCGCATTAATCTCCTTAGCCGTCAAATGTGTGAAGCATGAAGAAATATAAAAGAGCAAGAAAGCGATGGAATGGAATATGGCAAAATGGGCGAAGAAATGCAAGAACCCTTTGCCTGCCAACCGTACATTGAGCCGGCTGCACAGACAGCTTATTGAAGAGTTTGTGTACGCCAAGTGAATACCCAGGTACAGAGTTCACACAATGGTGCCATATGGGTGAGTCAACTCTCAAATGGGACGATTTGGCAGGAGCTTGACCCAGTGGTGACTCGTTGCAGTTGTATAGTGCTAATCCTGTGTGACAACGGACCAATCTAGCTAAAGCGAGGGAGAAAAGGATATAGGACTGCGCTCTACCGGCCCCTTACATAGATACGCGTCGGTTGGGAGTTGCCAAAAGACAAAATGTGTAGTTGGACCTTGAGAGAAACGCCTCATAGTCCTATAGGATTTTTGGGAAAGGGCACTCATATTATGACGACGGATTTAGGGAGCCATTGGAAAGGTCACACCGATTAGGAGGTCTCATTGTTGCCCGAACAGGATTAGGGACGAGAGCGAAAAGTGGCCTGGACTGCTGAAAAAGGTTGTTGATATAGCTCGCAGGCTTCGCCGAGAATCTTGAATTGTTCTTGTTTTTTATTGCCTAATTGTATTCCGTAGGTGGAATAGAGTGTAGGTCTTCTACCACAGTTCTTGCTTTCCAGCACTACACCCTTCACTATTACAAAGGGCAAAAGGTTAAGACAGACTTAGCACCTAAGTTTGAACTTCAGTAGGAGAATTAGCGTGGCATCACTCGATTGCGTAACCCTCACTGGGCTCTACAAAAGGACGACCGAATAACTTCGATTTCTTCAGCATGCATCACCCGCTTCACGAGCTCTGTTCATGAACCGTTCCATCTAGGAGACTTTTAAGGAGATTATTTCCTGGCGGTGATGACTACACAGCCGCGAAGGCACACCTTTGTGTTCAGAAAGGTTTTTTCTGATTAGGACTGCGCGTTCCCGGCTGAAACTTGCTCTCAAAGTGTTCCTGTCCCACAACCCATTTATGACCATCTGCAATTTTCCCCTTATTGGATCTAAACGACCTTCCTTGTTTTATGTTGCTCAGTGATGACTTTGTTGCGCTAGCGATCAGCTCCAGACCAGAAAAAGTCGTTTCAGTCACATTTTCCGTTCTCATTACGATTTCTTCCAAACGACAGATTCGTCACGCATTGTGCACAGCTATTTCACCCTCTTTCACTTAAGAAGTTGAGTCTTTTACAAGCAAATACCCCAATTTTTCACAACCGCTTCAACAAAAAATTCCAAATTTTGTTTGTAAAGGTTCCTACATGCTTTTTCCAATTTGGAGTAAGTGTCAGGACAAGAATCACTAGCTGAACATCAGTTCACTACTTGACATCGCACCGCTATCAGTCAAGGCGGTGTCAGGAGGGATTGAGTGAGCCCGCCCATGGCTGCGTATACCACCAATAGTTGCCGTGTTCGAGTAAGAAACAACCAGTGGTGGGCAGACGGCCTCCCGACACCGCCTCGACTGATTGGGCTATGTCAGCTACATCTGAATTCTCTTGTTTTCAGTCGTCGCTCGAGTTCAGAGTGCATCTACGTTGCGAGTTCCTCATGCTTGGCATGGCTCGTGCGGCCACTCTGATACGTCCGCAGGCCTCAAATCGCCTGCAGGATCATCTGGATCTTTTCGAGATGATGCGAAAAGAGGATGAGATCGTGCTCTCTGGGTAAGTGACCATTTTTCCATAGCTAGCTGCTTTATGTCTCCTTTTTGCAGCGTTTTCTGTACCTCCTCTATTTCAATGAGTTTTTTGATTACAGTAATTCCTTGCAGAGGCAATTCCGAGGACTCAGGTGCCTCATCTCCAGTAAATTTCGAGAGCGCTAGCGATATTGCCGAGGCCCTGCACTCAAAGTTAAGAAGTTCACCAGCACTGCCGCACTTCATGTCCCTCCTGCAGCACTTGTTCATGGTGAGAGTTTTCTTTCTGTTCCCTCTAATTATGCTCACAACGCCCAACGCCAAGCTTTTGCCAGAGATGGGGCAATGGATAAAGAACACTGCTACTGTTCACACT